AAATATATGAGTTTGTATGTAATGTATGAATATAATATACAAGTTTCACTTTTTAAATGGAATTACTGAAATAAATCTACTTTTTCATGATATTCTAATTTTATGACCAGCACCTGTATATTATGAGGTTGAATCCTTATGATATAGAACGAAGTTGTTAGGTTTCAGTCTGTTAGAGTCAGCCTGCTGAGCTGCTTTGTTTGGGTTTTCAGATACGAGCACAAGGCCTTACACTGAGGCCTGTGCTGAATGCTGTACTGTATGAACCTGATTGGAGAGTTCGACGATTGAGAACAAAGTTTTAAGAAATCCAGTGAGTCTTGCTACTTTATACAGACATGCCATTTTTGAACAGCGCATTATTTCTACAACCTAATAAATAAAAGCATTAGAAACTATTTGTGACCCATCACATTGAAACGAGGATTAAGTCCAAAAGTGGAATGTGGACAAATATGCAAATATAGGGTTTTGATTTAAATGTGTGCACAAATTGCATTTTGTCAAAATATAATGAATTAATGCCTTTTCAATGAGTCATTTCAATGAACTGTCTGACATATAATCCTAAAAAAAATATTTTTGAACCTTTTTTTTTACCAGTAGCAACTAAAAACCTGATTTTAAGAAAACTGTCTTAAAATTTAAAATTTTTCCCTGTGAGCTAGCAATGTTTTTGTTTCTTCTCAACTAGGAAATCTTAATATACAAAACTATTTGAGGTTTTCTCTTTATATTGATATAAAAATTACTCATTAAATTTACATAAAATTAGGATTCAGACCAAACAGTAATGTATTATTGTAACCAACAAGACAAAGTAAGTCAAATCTCTATATAAGTTTATGATATCAGAATGATCAAGGTATCAAAATGTAGCTTTTAAAGCCACAAATCTGAAAATGTGATTAGATCGTTTTGACCAAATTTTACTTAATCCTTATTTTGATATGATGGGTCACATTTATGTTTTCTTGTTACTTGTTGTACAAAAAAAAATCAAAAATCAAAAATATATTTCATGTGTGTATATTCAAATTCTAGCTACAGCAATAAAAGTAAGATGTAGTCCAGTGGTACCACAGGGCTGCAGGTTGCAGGCGCTGAACTGCTGAGCTGTGCCGTGGACTCTGATGGGCCCACGGGTTCTGGTCCTGTATCCTCCTCCACACGTCACCGAACACTCCGACCACGAGCCCCATGGTTCTTTAACGCCTTCAGACAAATCACAAGAGAGTTTTGTATTTTAGTGCAAAACTTGCAAATAGGAGTTGCTTCGCTGACAAATAAATGCTTCCCACCTAGGCAGGGTTCAATGCTGCAGGTATCAATCCCAACTCTCTCTCCTTTGCAGGGACGACCGCCAAAAGCCAGCGAGGGATTGGTTCCTGAGCGATACCTCCTTCTAACACCGACGTCACATGTTCGACTGCAAGAACTCCACTGTGTCCAGCTGCTCCAACCACAGTCCACTGTGAAACAAAGGGACTCAGCTCAAAGATACAAAGGACACAACAACTGAGACCGCTGAAACGGGATCGAACCAGCAACCTACCGATTACGAGACGACTCCCCCGAACCACTCCACCACAGCCACCCAAACACCCACCAAAGTTTAAAAGGGCAATATCATGTAAAATTAACTTTTTTTAGTTTTGTATCATGTATTGTTATACTCTCATAAAAAAACATGCCCAAAGCCTTGCTTTGACTCATTCATGCATATTTGAGAAATCCTGCAGCGTTTTTAGGAAGCCATGCTGAGGAGCAAAACGACAGGTGGGGACCAGAAACGCCCCTGGGACGTGTCTTTAAGCCGAACTTTATCATGGCAGGAC